GAGAGGAAAAGGCAGGCCCAGAGGCAACTGTAGGCGAACCTTTGAGGCTGAACTCAAGGCTACGAACGGGACAAAACTGGAGATAGAGAGGATGGCTGTGGGATCTGAGTGGCGACATTTTTTCCATAACTTATGGGCTTCTCGGTTCGAAGAGGATTGATTGACTGAAATACTTAAAGTCCTGTGAGCGTAAGAATATTTCCAGTCTAAAAGTTATCTTGTTAATAAAAAGTTAAGTTAAAGCGGGTTTTAAAAAAAAAAAAAAACGGTACAGTTGAAAATGTATCGGACACAGGCACTTTCTTGTTTTGGGACATGATGTCCTAGATTGTGAATGATGCTTCCAGCTTACAATGAATATACGCGCATGAATTAACAACAATGCTGGTTTAACCACACTGCAAGAAAAATCTGGTCTATTGTGAAGTGAACCGTTTAAAAAAAAATCAAGTTGAAGAAACGTGAAGTCGCTGACAATGTATACATATTTTGATTTCCGTCTAAGAACAGAACCTCCACATGCGTAAAATAAAGACTGTACTTTCCCCATAGTGTGTATGTTAGACGGGACCACAAAAACCTGAGCACATTCTGCAAGTCTGCACCCCATTCTAACATCTAGGCAGAGAAACCTGGCCTCAGGAGCAAAGTGTGCAGAGCAAGCTAAAGGAAACCATTAAAGAACCAGCTACTGACATGCGAGTTCATAGAGGTAACCCACCTGATGGTCTGACCTGAGTATATGAAACCACGGCCATCTTTAGCTATAAATCTAGAGTTGGCGGTGATGAAACCGACCACACAAAAAAAGAAACCGAAGAAGAGCTACTTAGAAAAATAATGTCGCGTAAAAGTTTGATCTTAATGAATGTATATCTAATTAATTGTATGGACAGAGAGGTAGCACTGATTGCCTAATGCCGGTCCCAAGCCCGGATGTAAAAAAGGAGAGGGTTGGACGTAAAGCCAGCCCTTCCCCTGCCTTGTTAAAGAAACAGTATGCTACTAAAACTGGTCGAACATATACTGAAAAAGGAAACAAGTGGATCGAGGAGGCGTGAAGTTCAAGAGAATCCTAAAGTGAACATTGACGAGAGTGGCCTAAATGTTGGACTGGAGCCCATTCATGGTATGGAAACAGTTGTACAGGAATGAACAGCAAATGGGTGACCAGACTGTTACCCTTACGCAACGTCAAATGACATAAAAGGGTGATGATGGGATGTATCCACGTATGGGTTCTGAGGACCGAGTTTGGTAGACATGCTAAAATTAAAAACATGGCAAAAAAATGTACGTACACACACACACACACACACACACACACACACACACCTCTTCTTGTTCTTGTTCTTGTTCTTCTTGTTCTTGTTCTTCTTCTTCTTCTTCTTCTTCTTCTTCTTCTTCTTCTTCTTCTTCTTCTGCTTCAGCGTTCAAAGTCTTTAAGGTTCATTGCTACAGATATCACCTGCCTCTACTCAACTCTCTGGTTTGCCTTCTTCCAGTTGGTGACACCAAGTTTTTGCAGGTCTGTCTAGACGTTATCTCTCCATAGTCTTCTTGGTCTGCCTCTCGGTCTACTACCATTCAGCTCCCTTGTGGATAGTTTTTACCTCCCTGTTATTTGACATTCTCTCAGTATGTCCTAGCCATTTCAGTTTGTTAGATCTCGTGATACCAGTGACTAATGTGATCTGTTTAATTTAATTATTTATATCCACACACACACACACACACACACACACACACACACACACACACACACACACACGTGTGTGTGTGAGGGTTTAAATAAATTAAATTTAACGTATGCATCCTCTTTAATTTTTTGTATTGTTTTTTATCTTACTTTGTAATCATCTTACAGTTAATCATCGCAGGTAAGAGGTAGATGCAATTTACTTCTTTGACTAATTGCTTAGCTTGTGTTAATGTCATATCGCGATTCTGTGGTGTCTCTTTTACTCCCTCAACCCATCTCTTTCTTGGTCAACCTCTTGTCTCGTAGCCGGATGTTCTCATGTAGTATGCTCTATCTGTGGACTTATTTTGTTCCATTCGGACCAAATGACCAAACCATTCTATTCTTTCATCTTCTGTAAAATAATTTACGGAAACTGTGCCTATCACTGCCATTAGTTTATCGTTTGTGACTGTTTCTTCTTGTTTTGCCGCCACATTTCTTACACATTCCATCTGTCATGTTGCAGTTTTGCATTTATGTTCTATCTAGGACTGCCCATAAATGGCATTTTGATAGCACAACGTTTTTACAAATAGCTCATTGAAAGCACAACGTTTTTACAAATAGCGCATTGATAGCACAACATTTTTACAAATAGCCGGTGATAGCACAAAGTTTTTACACATAGCGCATTAACAGCACAAAGTTTTTACAAATAGCTCATTGACGGCGTAATAATTTAATTTTAATATGCTCAAACTTAATGACCGATTCTAATCCCGCAGGCTACAAATTTGGGTCTGGCGATAGAGGCAGTCAACGACATGCTTGACTGCAAGTTGCGAACGATTCCCAAGCTGGAGAAAGGTTCCTTCCATAAGGCGTTTATCTCCGAGGGTCGCAGAACAAGCAACTGTACCATAATGCTCGGGTACACATCCAACATGGTGTCATCTGGTAACAGGGAAGTGCTCAAATATCTGGCAGAGCATAATATGGTAAGCTGGTCGTTTTGTGAATAAAGTCAGGGCCGTCTCAACGCATGGGCCAGCTGGACATTTTCCCGGGGCCTCAAGGGTATAGGGCCCCTAGTCTGTGTATGTCATCATCATCAGTGCCTTGCCAGTTGGCGTAGGCGTTCATGCATCGCCACAGATCTCAGTCTTTGATATTCTGGATAATTTCCAATGATAATAATTCCTCCATGCCACTGTCTTAAGCCATGCACCATTATTATTTTTGATGATGATGATGATGGGACAAAAGTCGTCCCTTTGTGGAATGCAATTTTTCGTTATTCGAAGCCCCACCCTGGCCTTTTGCCGGGGGACCCTGAATAAAGCTGGGCCACAAATGTGGTCATAACGGCAGAAAGGGGTTTCTTGGACCTCTCCACGGGTGATCCTCATCCACATGGTGGCACTTTGTGTCACCTGGTGTTTATCGCTTGTGTGATGTCCTGGTGGGGTACAACAAACAAGCAAGCACGCATTTCTCTTCATCTGCCTCTGCCTTTTCTACCAGTGATCTTTCCAGTCGTCACGACATTTTCCAGTGCTCCTTTTCTCATTACATGACCAAAGAACTTCGTCTCCTTCCCATTGTTTTACATTATGTTATACTTTTATTAGCCATTTCCAGGCAATCATGAGATGTCTCTGAATATGATGGTTCTCCAATCGTTCATCCTTTCCTTTTCCTTTTCCACATCCTGCTCTTCTTTTTCTTTTCCTTAAACGCCTTCTTCATCCTCTATCGCATACTGTTCTTTTTCTTCTTTCATGTTCTGCTCTCTCTCTCTCTCTCTCTCTCTCTCTCTCTCTCTCTCTCTCTCTCTCTCTCTCTCTATCTCTGCCCCAGTCTCTGTCTCTCTCTCTCTTTTCTACCTCCTCCTCTACATCATCATCATCATCATTCCTATCATCACCACCAACTTCAAAATCAACATCACCACCACCATCATCAACTTTGTAAACATCATCACCATCATAATCTCGTCTTCTACTACTAGTACTGCTGCTGCTTCTGCTGCTGCTGCTTCTGCTGCTGCTGCTGCTGCTGCTGCTGCTACTACTACTACTACTACTACTACTACTACTACTACTACTACTACTACTACTACTACTACTACTACTACTACTACTACTACTAGTACTAATACTACTACTACTAATACTACTACTAATACTACTACTAATACTACTACTACTACTAATAATAATACTACTACTACTAATACTACTACTACTACTACTACTACTACTACTACTACTACTACTACTACTACTACTACTACTACTAATACTACTACTAATACTACTACTACTACTAATACTACTACCACTACTAATACTACTACTACTAATACTACTACTACTACTACTACTACTACTACTACTACTACTACTACTACTACTACTACTACTACTACTACTACTACTATTACTACTACTACTACTACTACTACTACTACTACTACTACTACTACTACTACTACTACTACTACTACTACTACTACTACTACTACTACTACTACTACTACTACTACTACTACTAATACTTCTACTACTACTAATACTACTACTACTAACACTACTAATACTACTACTACTACTACTACTACTACTACTACTACTACTACTACTACTACTACTACTACTACTACTACTACTGCTACTGCTGCTGCTGCTGCTTCTGCTGTTGCTGCTGCTACTACTACTACTACTAATACTTCTACTAATACTACTACTAATACTACTACTACTAATACTACTACTAATACTACTACTAATACTACTACTACTAATACTAATAATAGTAATAATAATACAACTGCTGCTGCTCCTACTACTACTACTTTCTCCTCCTTGTTTCCCTCTTTCTTATCTTCCCTCCAACCTTCATTTCCTTTTCCTTCCCCCTCCTCCTTCTCCCCCTTCTTCTCGGAAATATACACGTGAATGTATTGAAAGAATGCAGCATTCAGTGGCAGCTGTATCAGGTGTACTTATATTGCAGGTGGACTGTATCGTCACCACTGGTGGGGGTGTGGAGGAGGATTTAATCAAATGTCTCCATTCTTTCTACATCGGCGACTTTTCATTGCAGGTATGCTGCAGTTGTTATAGTAGTGTGTCCTTGCATGTGCGTGTGTCCTAGCGTGTGTTTGTGTAGTAATGCATTTGTCGTTGTGTGTGTGTTGAAAGTATGCACCTGAGTGTGCGATTGAGTATGTGTGTGTGTGTGTGTTTTGTATGTGTGACATTGTGTGTGTTTCTTGTATGCGTTTATGTCTCGTATGTGTGTAATTGTGTGTATGTCTTGTATGGGCGTTTTTGTGTGTGTAGTATGTGTGTGTGTGTGTGTGTGTATGTGATTTGTATGTTTGTCAACATTGTTTTATTTCTTTCTAACTTTCTCTCCATATTGCCCCACCCATTGCAGTCAGTTAGATCCTTACACACACACACATACACACACACGCGCGCGCACACACACACATACACACACACATGGCTCCGGGCAGCTGTAGCGGTTTATGGTGTCCTAATTATAACTTTTTCGGAGACTGACTATGGTGTCTGGGATTTACCTCAACGGCTTGCCCACGGGAGAAAGGGTGGCTACCAGGTACAGTCCTTGGAAGTAAAGGCGGTGGCGTGATGCTGATATCTCCTCGATGTGTACGCCGGATAACTGGAGCCGCGAGGTTTCAGGATAACAGGGCAATGTCTGGCCTGGAAGGAGACGGGAACAAACAAGGTCAGACCCCCCCCCCCTTTCTCCCCCCCACGCGACGGACCTAGCAAGCCGGCAGCGGTTTAATAGTTGATTGCTACTACACAAGAAGTATTGAATACACATAGGACGAACGTCTGAAAGGAAGACCAAGAGAGACAAGGATAAATATTGTGCCTGAAACCTGTAGAAAAGATGAACGGATCTATCCCAAGTCACCCGAGAGGCGCACCACAAATACAGAAGACCACGACACTGGGCTGCAACCTGGTATCAGTAAGATGACAAAAGAAGAGGAAGATGATATTGATAACTGGCGTTACGTGCTCGACGAGACGTAAACGGATTTTTAATAAATAGTAAACAATAATAAATAGTTAACCATAATAAATAGTAAACAATAATAAATAGTTAACCATAATAAATAGTTAACCATAATAAATAAACCATAATAAATAGTTAACCATAATAAATAGTTAACCATAATAAATAGTTAACCATAATAAATAACCATAATAAATAAATAGTTTAATAAATAGTTAACATAATAAATAGTTAACCATAATAAATAGTTAACCATAATAAATAGTAACCATAATAAATAGTAACCATAATAATAAATAATAAATAGTTAACCATAATAAATAGTAAACAATAATAAATAGTTAAACAATAATAAATAGTTAACCATAATAAATAGTTAACCATAATAAATAGTTAACCATAATAAATAGTTAACAATAATAAATAGTAAACAATAATAAATAGTTAACAATAATAAATAGTAAACAATAATAAATAGTAAACAATAATTAATAGTTAACCATAATAAATAGTTAACCATAATAAATAGTTAACCATAATAAATAGTTAACCATAATAAATAGTTAACCATAATAAATAGTAAACAATAATAAATAGTTAACCATAATAAATAGTTAACCATAATAAATAGTTAACCATAATAAATAGTTAACCATAATAAATAGTTAACCATAATAAATAGTTAACATAATAAATAAATAAATAGTTAAACATAATAAATAGTTAACCAATAATAAATAGTAAACAATAATAAATAGTTAACCATAATAAATAGTTAACCATAATAAATAGTTAACCATAATAAATAGTTAACCATAATAAATAGTAAACAATAATAAATAGTAAACAATAATAAATAGTAAACAATAATAAATAGTTAACCATAATAAATAGTTAACCATAATAAATAGTTAACCATAATAAATAGTTAACCATAATAAATAGTTAACCATAATAAATAGTTAACCATAATAAATAGTTAACCATAATAAATAGTAAACAATAATAAATAGTTAACCATAATAAATAGTTAACAATAATAAATAGTAACCATAATAAATAGTAAACATAATATAAAGTTAACCATAATAAATAGTTAACCATAATAAATAGTTAACCATAATAAATAGTTAACCATAATAAATAGTTAACCATAATAAATAGTTAACCATAATAAATAGTAAACAATAATAAATAGTAAACAATAATAAATAGTAAACAATAATAAATAGTTAACCATAATAAATAGTTAACCATAATAAATAGTTAACCATAATAAATAGTTAACCATAATAAATAGTTAACAATAATAAATAGTAAACAATAATAAATAGTTAACCATAATAAATAGTTAACCATAATAAATAGTTAACCATAATAAATAGTAAACCATAATAAATAGTTAACCATAATAAATAGTTAACCATAATAAATAGTTAACCATAATAAATAGTTAACCATAATAAATAGTTAACCATAATAAATAGTTAACAATAATAAATAGTAAACAATAATAAATAGTAAACAATAATAAATAGTAAACAATAATAAATAGTTAACCATAACCATAATAAATAATAAATAGTTAACCATAATAAATAGTTAACCATAATAAATAGTTAACCATAATAAATAGTAATAAATAATTAACCATAATAAATAGTTAACCATAATAAATAGTTAACCATAATAAATAGTTAAACCATAATAAATAGTAAACCATAATAAATAACCATAATAAATAGTTAACCATAATAAATAGTTAACCATAATAAATAGTTAACCATAATAAATAGTTAACCATAATAAATAGTTAACCATAATAAATAGTTAAACAATAATAAATAGTTAACCATAATATAATAGTTAACCATAATAAATAGTTAACCATAATAAATAGTTAAACATAATAAATAGTTAACAATAATAAATAGTTAACCATATAAATAGTTAACCATAATAAATAGTTAACCATAATAAATAGTTAACCATAATAAATAGTTATAAATAATAAATAACCATAATAAATAGTTAACAATAATAAATAGTTAACATAATAAATAGTTAACCATAATAAATATAATAAATAAATAGTAAACAATAATAAATATAAATAGTTAACCATAATAAATAGTTAACCATAATAAATAGTTAACCATAATAAATAGTTAACCATAATAAATAGTTAACCATAATAAATAGTAAAACCATAATAAATAGTTAACCATAATAAATAGTTAACCATAATAAATAGTTAACCATAATATAATAGTTAACCATAATAAATAGTTAATAATAAATAGTTAACCATAATAAATAGTTAACCATAATAAATAGTAAACAATAATAAATAGTTAACCATAATAAATAGTTAACCATAATAAATAGTTAACCATAATAAATAGTTAACCATAATAAATAGTTAACCATAATAAATAGTTAACCATAATAAATAGTTAACCATAATAAATAGTTAACCATAATAAATAGTTAACCATAATAAATAGTTAACCATAATAAATAGTTAACCATAATAAATAGTTAACCATAATAAATAGTTAACCATAATAAATAGTTAACCATAATAAATAGTTAACCATAATAAATAGTTAACCATAATAATAAATAGTTAACCATAATAAATAGTTAACCATAATAAATAGTTAACCATAATAAATAGTTAACCATAATAAATAGTTAACCATAATAAATAGTTAACCATAATAAATAGTTAACCATAATAAATAGTTAACCATAATAAATAGTTAACCATAATAAATAGTAAACAATAATAAATAGTAAACAATAATTAATAGTTAACCATAATAAATAGTTAACCATAATAAATAGTTAACCATAATAAATAGTTAACCATAATAAATAGTTAACCATAATAAATAGTTAACCATAATAAATAGTAAACAATAATAAATAGTTAACCATAATAAATAGTTAACCATAATAAATAGTTAACCATAATAAATAGTTAACCATAATAAATAGTTAACCATAATAAATAGTAAACAATAATAAATAGTTAACCATAATAAATAGTTAACCATAATAAATAGTTAACCATAATAAATAGTAAACAATAATAAATAGTAAACAATAATAAATAGTTAACCATAATAAATAGTTAACCATAATAAATAGTTAACCATAATAAATAGTTAACAATAATAAATAGTAAACCATAATAAATAGTTAACCATAATAAATAGTAAACAATAATAAATAGTAAACAATAATTAATAGTTAACCATAATAAAAGTAGTAACAGACAAAATAGGAAACTTGATCGCGCCAAACTCTGGCTACAGTAAACTCCACGCTTGGCTCAGTCCTATACTGGACGCCATGTCAGATGAACAGAAGAATGTGAGTATCTACTGAATTCTTTCTTTCTTTTCTTTTTTTATCTTCATTCTTTAAAAAAAAAAAATTGTTTAATAATTCTTAAACTTAAGGTATCTTTCATTTCCTCTTTGTTATTGTGTTGCTAATATCTTTTTCGTTATTAAATGTATGAATTTTCTTTTCATCTCACATGTTCAATTGTTTCTCTTTTCTGAATGTGCTCATTTCATAAGTTTTTCTATATTGCGTTCTTTCGTTCAAAGTCTTTTTTCTTTCCTTTCCGTGTGCCTGTCTGCCAGAGTGTTGCTTGTATGTGTTTCTGTCAACACATCTAACTACTTCTCTACCAACTTCTCGCCTAACCTCTCTACCAACCTCTCTACCAACCTCTCTACCAACCGCTCTACCAACCGCTCTACCAACCTCTCTACCAACCTTTCTACCTACCTCTCTACCAACCTCTCTACCAACATCTCTACCAACCTTTCTACCTACCTCTCTACCAACCTCTCTACCAACATCTTTATCAACATCTTTACCAACCTCTACCAACCTCTCTACCAACCTCTCTACCAACCTCTCTACCAACCTCTCTACCAACATCTTTATCAACCTCTCTACCAACCTCTCTACCAACCTCTCTACCAACCTCTCTACCAACCTCTTTACCAACCTCTCTACCTACCTAGCCAGCTAACATCCTGCCTGCGTGTTCGTATGCCTGCCTGCCTGCTTGTAATCTTCTCTGGATATTGGCTTATACAAAGATTTATCAAAGATAAACCAAATGTGAGTGTCAGCAATGAAACAAATAATCTAAGTCGGTGTTCCTCAGAGAAAAAAATGGAAAATATCTTATGCAATAGATCGCTGTCATTTAATGTCAGAAAGAGGGTGCTAAAATGTTACATAGGACCGGTTGTGCTGTGTGGCAGCGAATCTTGGAATGTCACTGAATAAATTAAGAAGAACTTGGAAGCAACAGAGATGTGGTTTCTGAGACAAGTGTTACGAATACCTTGGAGGGCCAGAGTAGCTAACGATTGTTTGAAAGTAGATCTTTATTTACAACAATTAGAAAATAATTAGGAAAATAAATAAAAACAAACACAGTTCTTTGGCCACATAATAAGAAGAGAGATAGTGAAGAACATCATGACAACTGGAAAGATCAGTGGAAAAGGGGTAGAGGCAGACCAAGAGAGACGATGCTGGATGGGCTGAAACGATGGCATGGAGGGATATCATCAAGAGAGCTCTTCCAGTCAACCAGGGATCGTGATCTGTGGAGTCGCATGAGCGCCTACGTCAGTTGGCAGGGCACATGATGATGATGCGTGTTCATCAACAATTTCACACCAGCGGCCTACTAACACAGAAACTTGCTTCGGGACTTACCTAACAGCTAACCATAGAAACAAAAACAAATGTAGATTAAGTTTATTTATTAAATGCGATGTCATACAATTATTGAAGTGTTTAATTCTCATATTTTAGGTGTTTATCCTACAGAATTCACAATTCTACGATTATATATACATATGGTTCGGCGTTGAAAGGGAAAAGAAGTGCCTGGGAGTTCGCGAGCGAAAGCCAATGGGAAATCTTTAGTGCAAGACAGCCTAACATACGACACCACAACATCTAGCATTTGAATGGAGATGAAGGCGGTAATTGTAGCTCTCCGCTGGCTAGAGAACCAGATGCATACACATGTCCTAATTGTAACAGACTCTGAAAGACGCTGAGAAAGGTAAAGCAGGGATGCTTCGAGCAGAGTGGCAAGCTTCACTGGGAAGGTCAGAGATAGTGAGCATACTTTAGATCTTTTCTTCACACCATGCCGGCGTAGTGGGTAATGAACAGGCAGACAGATTGGCCGGATCCGCACCTCTGGGTGGTAAATTAATACATGACAAGGCAGATGTGGTCAAGGCCCTTTGGGAACAAACAACGTAATCAGTAGAGACAGAAGATTATTATGGCCTGGAGAGAATGAGGCACCTGGGTGTAACCAGAGAGTCTGGCCGACTCACTACACTCAAAGGAAAGACAAGACGGACAAAAAACCAGATTATGACCGGTACCATCAGTAGGCCTATTGGAAATCTGCACCGACTGCTGAGGATGAGGACGGGGCACGCATAGGAATGCCCCGAGTGCTGTGATGTCAATCCTTGACTCAACTCCTACAGAATGCAGTCATAGAAGAGAAACATTATCTACCATACCTTGTTACATCATTAGCTATGTTGAAACTGTTGGCGACCTTGAACCAAGTACACAAATTTTCTCAAATAAAGTTGTTTTCGGGCATTTTTTAAAAAAAATTTATTTTTAAAAAATCGAAATTAAAATAAAATGACTTGTTTAGGGGTAGTAGAGTTTGGGATTTATGTTTTAGATGACATTAAAGTTGTACATAACCCTTTGCTCATCAGGACAGTTCTCGGC